CATTGCTTGAAACAGTTTAAAATTGGATTTAAAAATCCAGAAATGGAAAATGTGGCGGGTTTTTTGGAGCTCGTTTTGTAATAATGCTTCACCCAGGTTTATGCATACTTTTAGCCTTGTTGAAGCTCACACTTAGAGAAAGGCAGTTATCAGGCATGTATGTGCCTTCAGTTCTACTAAGCAAAATGCAGCTGTCTGCGAAAATCATAGGCAGTAGCATTTTCTACTTTGGGACAAGATTTTATGCTGACAATTCCCATTTCGGGTTTTAGGAATAAGTGGGATTCAAATTTATTTATTGCTTTATTTGTGGAGGGCTTGGTGCTTTCTGTGTGCAGTTATTTCCTTGCAGATGTTTTATGGGCCAATTATACTATACTATATTGTACTTTACAACTATATTTATTATACAATAATACTTATTAATGATTACTTATTATGTCATAATTATGCAATATCTGAGGGGCCTTTCCAACTCTCTTATTTTATAGTCTAACTAAGCAATGCCCTCAGTGATAGAAGAGGGATTGGGGTTTGCTCTTTGTTCTGAGTTGGCTACCAATCAAGAAATTATCAAGAACATTCACACCAACTCTAGTATATAAACAGAGAGCATCCACTCACCTATTCTAGCACTGATGATGTTCCTGTAATGACCCAGAGTATCTCAGAATTATAACAAAACCCCAAACGTAACTAAAAGTCCTTTAATACCTTCCACTTGGCTTCACTGTTGAATTGTTCACAGTGAAGGAGCAAACTATTTTCAAAATAATATTTCAAAGGAAAGAAACACTGTTCACAGTCAAAGAGATGATGATGAAGCAAAAAATAAAAACAAACCGCACTGAATAAAAGTTCCATGACAAACCAGGATAGATAATTGCCAACTTCAGGAAGATAACCAGGGACAGTCCGTTGGAAGAACGCCAGCCAAGATAAACCTTCTTTAGGAATAAAACACTAATTTGTCTCCAGCGTTTGTTAGCACGCAGGTCCACACTCTTATGCAAATCTCCCACCTGCAACCCACGAAGGCGATCATGGCCCTCTCCTCCCAAGCAGACCACGTTTTACCCTGATCCTCTCTCCTCCCTGCGTGCCCTAGGATGGAGTATCTAGAATCTTACAGTCCTCCTCCTCCTCCTCCTCCTCTTCGCAAACCCCACTCCTTTCTATCCCTGATGATTTTCCCCCGCCGGGCCACGAAACGTCTGCAAGCCAACCACCCCATTCAAATCTTCACGTAGATTTATTTACAAGATTCAAAACAGATTCCCATCTTATCCCAGAATCTGGGCAGCACCCAATAGGATTGCGATAATGGGCTTCGGCTCCATTAATTTCCAGGAATGGCTTTGCATAAGGGAGCAGCAGGAGGATGAAAAGAAACAATGCGTTAACGGTGGGGTGCATCGGTGCACACGGGCATGGCTGAGATCGCGACGCCCCGACGCCCTGCTATTTCTTCAGCGTGGCTGGTTTTCAGCTTTTGCAAACATCTCAGCTATTCCTTGAATAGATCTCCCACCTCCCCACCTTCTTCCAATGGAGCGAGGAAGCTCAGACCCCAAACCCTGGGTGGGAAAAGCAACCCAGACTCAAATGTGGTCTGCAAATATCGTTCACTTCTCTCCGAGGGTCTCAGAAAAGTTTACTTAAAATAGGAAAACAAAGAATCGCCCTTCCTTCAGAATAGAATAGAATAGAATAGAATAGAATAGAATAGAATAGAATAGAATAGAATAGAATAGAATAGAATAGAATAGAAATTAAGAATTAATTAGGAATTTGGAATGGAATGGAATGGAATGGAGTAGAGTAGAATAGAGTAGAGTAGGAGTAGGAGTAGGAATAGGAGTAGGAATAGAGTAGAGTAGAATAGAAAAGGAATTGGGAATTAATTAGGAATTTAGAATGGAATGGAGTAGAGTAGGGTAGAGTAGAGTAGAGTAGAGTAGAGTAGAGTAGAGTAGAGTAGAATAGAATAGAATAGAATAGAATAGAATAGAATAGAATAGAATA